TTCTCATTTGATTTTCTTCATCTTTTACAGATTGTTCCCTTTGAGCGACTTGAATTTCTCTACTTTTGACTTGTTCATCCTTCTCATTCAGGCTGTTTCTAACTTTTCCAAATTTGCCAATTGTTGTTCATATTGTTGTACGATAGAGTCGAGTTGCTTTTTGAGGAGGCTTGTTTGGTTTTTTGTTTCTTGCACTTGTTGTTTGATTTGTGATGATGATGGTGGTGCGTTGTTGGTCATGATTCCTGTTTTCTTCTTGGTCATTTGTTCTTTATTGTTTTTTTTTTGATTGGTAATCCCGTACGAGCTTTTTTTTAAAGTGATCTTCGGGATCAGCCAAGCTCTCACAATGAATGTGAGTGATGGAGCACTCATGTTTTTCCTATGGCTCACTTGTTAAGAATGATAAAGTTGTAGAAAAAGAAAAAAAGAAAAAAGAAAAAAAGATCATTTCTGGAGTGAGCTTGGGATTTAATTATAAAAAAAATTAAATAAATTAAATAAATTAAATATTAAATAGTATTACATTTTATTGTAATGGTTACAACAAGTATCTATCATTGTCATGAATTGGAACGAATTCACCCTTTACAACAAAGCAAGGCACTACACTTTCATCCAAGAGTGCTCTTTGTAATATTAATTGAGATTCCACATCCAAAATGTTAAATCCACCTCCATCAGAATGTCTTGTTAATATTAGTAATAATAATAATGGTATTCATATTGAAAGGTATCAATTTGTTGTTGTTAATCATTAATGAATTGGACAAACACTTACTTTTTGGTAATCATGTAATTCTTTCCATTCCATTGAATTGCATCTCCTGTTATAAATTTATCCAATAATTTCAAAAATTTCATTCATCATGATTATTCATCACATTCATCAATATCAACATCATCATTTTGTAGTATTAATATTAATTAATATTAGTAATAATAATAATATTATTATAGTACTAATTAGATTTACCAAAAACTTACCCTTCTCTAACTGAAATAGATTGGAACGAACCTTTCGAAGTTCAATCATTTTATGAATTGCCCACGCCTCTAAAGCTTTGTGATCCATATTGACTTTACCGTTCTTGATGGTTGAAATGATGGTTCCAATGGCATCTTCCATCATGAAGGTGCTATTTGTGTATAGTGGACCCAAATCCCAAATAGATCTTTACACATTATTGAATCAGTGAATATTGAATTATTATTTAACAAATATATACACAGTAATGTGAATGAAACTTTGAC